AAAACACAAAGGGGAAGAGCACAGGTAAGGACATGTTTGTTCACTGTGATCAGCCTTTGCCAGTGTAGGGGGGCAGGGAACAGTGCCTCACCATGGGACCAGAGGGGGGAGATTGGAATGTGGCCGCGGAATGCCAGACACTCTGCCCAGACAGAATAATTACAGATTCCAGCAAGGCAGTGCACCATAACTCAGCATTATCATGACCACAGTACATCAAATCCAGGAAAAACGAAAAAGTTAAAGAATTACATTAGGGACCCGTTTAGTTCAAATGTTGAAAAACACTCCTTACTGAAATGAATAGAGGGGGGTGGGGTAGCCCGTTTACAGGCATGTGTATCAGAGAGCTTGTTTAAACAGCACAAAGACCTTTGGCCGGGATGATGAAGACGGTTGAGACAGGATGGTTACAGCCCTAAGTTGAGTTCAGTTACTCTTCCTACACATATCTGCCCGAGGCACCGTTTCCCAGGATTACTACGTAGGAAGGCATTTTTATTGGGTACGCAAGTTAACAACCAGAAGTTTGCTAAAAACAACTGTGCTCTTCATTCAACAACTTTGCACACACAAACATTCACAAAAGGGCTGCTATTCCAGTGACATAAGCACACAACAGCACTGGAAATGATAAGAACAGATGCGTGCATAAAGATTAACATTGGACAATACTTTGCTGATTTATTTGTCTTGTGCTAGAAACAAGGCTGAAAAAACACCAAGTGCCAGGCCAGGATTCAGCTGCTTTCTTAACATTCCAACAAGGCCAACATGCTATTAAGGAACACACAATAAGCAGCAGGAAGTTTCATTTCCCTGCAGCCGCACAAACCAACAGAAACAGGACAGGAAAACAAAGCCCCATATTAATCTATTCTAACTGAATTATCAAATGACCCATGTCCATAGTCTTAAGAGTTTCTGAAAACTAAATGCACTGACTATTGCATATCATAAACCCTTTAAAAAAAAAAAAAAAAGAGCCAGTCTGCAACTGAAAACTCATTACACATGAAAAATGGCTTTGGACAGCAGTTCTGTAATTATAGAGGAAGCTCTTGCAAACCAACCGACTACGTGTATCAAGTCCCCGGTGTCGGGCACAGTTATTTTCCATTTTCACTGAAATGTAAAATGCAATGAAAACTCTCATGACCTCAAAGCTATTTTGATTGTGTTGCTATTCCAAGTGCAGTGTTTACTTAGCATCCTGGCAGATGTGTAGATATGTAGAACTCCTGGCAAGACCATGCCAGGAGTTCTACATATCTACACACACATTCTAACATGTGGCATTCGTTTTGTAGTCTAGACAGTGAAATACGGGAAAGTGAAAAGAAGATGACGAAAAACAAAAAAGGCCTACCTTTGTGCCAACTGATATGTCATGGACACTTCTGTGAAAGACAAAGAAACTTCATTATTATACAGGAAATGCATGAAAATACCATAATTTAACAATTATAATCACAACGGCATAGACGTCTACACTCTGGAAACTCCGTATTTACAAAAGTATCGACATAAACCTAGTACGGTTCAAATAAAAATGACTTCCTTATTAATTTACGTATAATTAACAAATACTTACTCAATTTCAGGGACGTAACTGGTTCCCAGGGGGTACAGTTCAGCGTCTAGGCGGCTGTAGTGGAAATAAGAGCAAAGTTTAGAGTGGAAATAAGTAATAATAAAACAAATCTCTCAAATATACGTCGAGCGTATTGTTGACCGAGCTCGATGCAACGTCGTTTCTGTGCAGGAGGTCCTTTTAACTTAAGCTGTCAGTAAATTCAGCTGATCAAAGTGGTAAAATACGCTTTGATTAAAAACACGATATCGTGTATCCTACCCTGAATAGAAGTCTCTGATTCAATCAACGCACAATGTTCAGACCAGATATCTTCAACATGGCCCTCTGGCACTCCGCAGACAAATGAATGCGGAAATGAGACACGTTGCTTTAGCTAGCGCTCGAGACACCAAGTTACCAATAGTTAGCCAGTGTTCAATAATGTTAACAAACGGCTGACTGTTTCCAGAATGTTCCTAAAAACGAAAGGTGCATTCAGACTCTACACATCGTTAAGTAACGTCTGCTTTGCGTTAATTTCGTTTATACAAAAATTATAATGTATGGTTCACATAACTAACGTTTGTTTGCGATGGCTAGTTAGCGGCTAGTTAGCTTCCGCTGCTGCTAACTGTTGCATGTTTTGATGAAAAAAAAAATGTTTCAAAACTTTCCCGGTCTAACGGTTAGGAAGAAGCAGCCACCGTGGATCAAACCATTCTAATACGCAACGTGTATATAAAGATGGATAACACCGCGGTGTGTTTGCGTTAAATAAATAAGTCTAAAGTGTGGTTCTTTTTCACTTACCCGTCCATTGCACAAGAAAAAAACTGCAGGTCTGAAGCGAAGGTAGGGCGGCAGACTTGCTTGATTTTCTTACAAAATGGCTGAACACACGGAGGCCAGCGCTGATTAGTCCAGCGACTTTCAAGAGCCCAAAACAGGCGGGGACGAGCGTCTACTCGAGTCGCGATTGGACAAGACGACTATCATTTTGTATAAAATAAAATAAAATAAAAAGAAGGCCACGGCAAATTTCCAGAACATCATATATCAAGTGGTCGGGTTTGTTTGAGTTTATTTATGACAAAAAAACGTACTTTGAGTCATCATGATGACACAATAAAAGAAGAAGGAGGCCAGCATGTCGAGTTTGTCCTAAAGAAGGACTGAGGGGGGGGGGCAATATGGAGTCGCGCTCTCATCCAATCTTATGATTATACAGCACATGTCTGCAGCATCAAACACACCTTCAAAGATGAATACCAAGGAAGTGTCTTTTGTGGCGCATTTAAATGAGCACCAGTGTCCACAAACATCGGTATTGTGTTCGGTTTAAAAGGGCTCCTTTACTTCAGTGAAAGTACCAATTCAAAAATACTCGATTATAAGCAAAATTCATAGCCTACACTTAAAATGGTACTACAGTAAGAGGACAGAATAAGCTAAATTATCTTGAAGTAGGCTACTCGTGCAGAAAGGTGGCCCATGTGAGTGCTTATTAAATTAGTATTTAATAAGTAATATACGTTAATATGTGAGTAGCATTAAAAAATGTATTGATAAGTTGGGACCAATGCTACTTGTATATAGTATTGGATATATGAATCTATAATGGCTCATATATATATAAATAAGATGGTCATATGTTCTGTAAAGTATAGGCTTACATTTAGCTGTCAAATAAATGTGGTGGAGTAAAAAGTACAATATTGGCCTCTGAAATGTAGTATAAAAAAAGGAATAGCCCCGCGTGAAGTACCTCAACGTTGAATGCGCAGTACTTGAGTAAATGTTCTTAATTTAATTGATTTCACCACTTTAAATATGAGATCCTCTAATATTAGAGTCAAGCAAATTTTTGTTTACTGGTGAACGTTAATCCAACACTGGTCGTGTTGGGAGAATTATGAATCCAGTCACATCGTCATTATGACCAAAACTTTGTGGATCCATTCAAATTCACTGGTGGTTTGAGGTATTCTGATTCAGGGCACACATGGGCTGCAGTTCATCACCACTCAGTGTGATGCGTGAACAACAGTACTGGTTTTGGTGGGGCACAACACAATCAGGATGGTAATTGCCCTGATACTGTTTGTCAGCACAAGTATCGTTTCAGGAAAGAGTGCTGTGGAAAACACAGTTGTTTAAAATTGCAAAAGGAAAGAGTTCTGGTGTGACAATAAAATAAGGAGACAACTATACAAATACAATACAGCAAATAAACCACAGGTAGGTTGCCAACATAACCAGTTTAAAGTTAGGATGCACAGCTCAATATGTACACTGGTATCATCACAGAAGGAAGCACAACACAAGTGGGAGGCCGTTATGTTCACTCTGGCTTGCTAATTTATAAGAAGAAGAAGAAGAATAAAAGACCTTCATATCAAGAAACATACAATTCTTTAATTCATACAGTTGTCAGGCTTACCGGTTTGTATTCTTTTTTGGGAAATGAGGTGAAAGAAGTGAATGATAGCTCTGTCTTAAAAATGTAAAGTTGAGAAGTAACAAGTGGATAACTACAGCAGCACAAAGAGTCAAATTGTCACAGTTGGTGATGCGTGTGAATAAGACGTGTGTGTACAGTAACTTGTTCCTGGAAGATATTAACAACTGGTGCTGAAACGCTGTTGCACCACCAAGGACATCATGTTGATTTCACTGGTTCGCACAGGTATTGGGCAATATATAGTTATTTTGTAGTGAATGAGGTTGGATTTGAGGAAAATTAGTTTTTTTGTTTCTGTTTGGTTGCCTATCCTAGTTTGTGCCTCATACTGGGGTAGCAGAGGCTTACATTTAACAAATAATGACAGAGGAAAGGTAATTATATGTTGACATAGCAGCAATAAGACTTAGCTTCATCCTCATAGGGCTGATTTCTGTGTTAGAACTTCTTATCCTACCTTTGGAAGTCATTTTAAATGATAAAACATGCCACCTCCTTTTTTATTTCCAATGACTTCCCAGGACAGTTTTGTTTTTCTCCTGTGTTGTGTCTGCGAGAGCGTGGAAAAGCGTAGTCAGGGTGTGACCTAAATAACGGAAAACAACATATTCTCTGTCTCGTGATGTGGAACACTTCTGCCACTTGTATTGAACGGTAAAATCTGTCTCATCACAGAGAATGTGTCAACAAACTGAAACTGCCACTTTCATATTGGGCTCACGTGAATCTATTAATTGTTGTTTATCGGAGGCTTCTGCAGCATAAAGCAGTATAGTTATGTTTTGTGAAATAGGGCATACCTGACCTCCATCTGATGAATGCCCTGTTTAAATGCCCCTCTGCCTTTGTCTCCCTATTTCACAGTATATTTGACAATTTTCTGACAGAATTAACTTCCACTACAGAAGACGTATTGCTCTCTAGTGGCATGTTTTGGGTACTGCACTTCACAAAATAACCTAGGCCATTTATGCTCATTACCACTGGTGGATCTGCTCTTTATAGCTCTATTTCATGTTTCTATAACATTTTTAACACCTCTCCCCAAATCGCACCTTACTTATGATTCATTCTTCATAAATGAGGGGTATAGTAATTATTTTCCTTATCATTTTTACCAGACAGTTGCATTACTACAGAAGGTCGTCCATCTGTGGCTCCATCGGCTGAGAGGCCGAAACCACACACATCATTAACCGTGGCTGACATGTACACTTCTATCTACAATATGTGTATGTTTGGTTGATTACATACACGTTTATCTGACTTGCTGTAAACAAACAGTAGTTTTATTCAAGATTAAACATTTAGACGACCACAGAATAGATGAACAGGCATTGGTCTTACACAAGGTTGCTTTTTCTGCTGCTGTCCCAGAGACCCACAATCAAGCAAAGCTTTAGCTCAACAAAGTTACATGTATTTCTATGTATACAGATGTATGTATGCATATAGATACGCACACATGTGTATACACTGCACATTGACTAGTAGCCAGTTAGTCTGCTGCATTAAGTTTGTACCCCCAAAATTGTTTAAACTTTGAATGTTGTAGATTTTGTTAAGTTTCTCAGATGTGTGGAATAAAAAACGTAATCTGTCGGTTACAGTAACACCAACAACAGGATCCAAAGTTTTTTTTCAAGACACCAACAGTAGTCTGCATATTATCATATGAGCTGCATTCACTTATAGTTATCATGAGAAAAATGAGAATGATATTCTACCATAGTTGTGAAGTACCCCTCTCGAGTAGAAGGCAGTGTTTACATTGGGTCATCATGACCAGGAGCAGAGCAAGAAAAACCCCGGCCTAAAAAAATGGCGGCAGACAAGGCCAGTCCAACCAACTGAACCTGACAAAGGCACCAACAATACACAGATGGTCATCTTTTCTTTTTAAAAACACACACATCAAATACAATATGCCGCCTCGCAAAGGGGCCATAGGAAAGAAAAAACAAGTCAATATCAGAAAGAAAGTGGCAAGTTGTTCAATTACAGTGGAACTGTACATATGGAAAGCATAGACTATAATTCATCTGTCCACGCCTGTTGACCTCCCTTTGGAATGTTAGAAAGGGATCATTTCTCTGGTGGTAAATGTAGGCAGGATATGAGATAATGCATCTGGCACTGAAGGTTGCGAAAGACTCTTATTCAACGAATGCAGGAGGCAGTAGATTCCCACAACCCCCCCTCACCGGCGGGTTGAGTAAGACAGAGGGAGGGAGAGTTGAAGAGTAGTTGGTGGATGAAGAGTGTTCGACGAGTCATGAGACTCAGGGCTAGCACCAACTTCAGAGGTTTTTAAAAACTGCGTGTCTCCAAGCATAGACGGTGGGGCTGTGTTTGTGTTCGGTGATGATGATGATGGTGATGATGGTGATGGTGTGTGGGTGAATCAGAGACGGGGATGAGTCTGGGGTGGGGGGAGGGAAGGGGAAGCATTGGTGGCGTAGCATCACCGACCCAGCACGTCAATGGCCTCTATGTCTGCCAAACAAATGAGTAAACTAGGGCCAAAATGTTTTTCAAATCGGCTTTCAGGGCTTTTAATTGCTATAGTGTACATGTTCAGTTTATCTTGCTAGCATCTTGCACTTTTTAAATGGTTAGACTGGACTTTCTTATAGAATATGGCCTGTTTCTTATTCAACAATTAAGAAAAAAAAGCTTGGGGACCTGGGCACAACCAAATTCTTTGCATTGTGTTTTTAGACTGAAAAAGATTCAAGGCCCCCAGAGAGTATTATTATTAGTGAGAAGTGCCCCAAATCTTTTTCCTTTTGCTGCAAATCTATTCAAGCACTGTCGGGCCGGCGTCTACAGACAAAGAGTCAGGGGTTAAACTGGGAGCGAGCAGGACAGAAACCAGCAGCCGACCAACACACAGTGAAATTACAGTATATCATCAGATGTTTATTTGATTCATAAAGAGACAAAAAGCTTCTTATTTTTATTCTTTTTTTTTTTTTTTTACGGTGAGCTGAGCAAGCCCGCCTCTTCTCGTTATGGTAGAACTAATCCCAATTTAACCCCTGGATTTACATTCATGTGAACGTGATAGAGTATAAGTAAGACCTAACAAGTGACAAGACAGTCAAAACAGTTGCAAGGCTTCATGCAGTGCTACCTCATAAGATTCACATTGACTCTACTGTTTAGAGAACAAAATTATTCAAGCATTTCGAATCGTTGCGCAATGGTTCGTCATGACTCTATCGATCATAAAGCGTAGTATCCATCTTATTTAAAAAATACAAAAGCTGTGATCTTCATGTACACGTGTCACATATAGTATCTATGAGAAGCTAATGTGGTTCGCAATATGGTCGCTGTTCTAATCAGCCGCTTCGTCTCCGTGCTGTAGATTTCTTTTTAAGTTTAATGCACATCTCTAACACTGCCAATTTTTATCAACTGTTACTGACAGAAAGACGCGTGTGACTAAATATATGAGCACATATGAGGCTAAGAAAGCACAGACACTTGTTATGATTGTAACGCGATTCTGGAAGTGCTTACAAGCCTACATGCAGTTAATGGTTGGAGATGATATGGAGAACCAAAAACAATAAATACCTTGTAGAAAACATAGTTTCATATCAATATATTAAAATACTATTTAAAATAATATCTTAGACAATATTGCAATATGAAATTGACCGATAAATAGTTGGTAGGGCTACACAGAGAAATATATACTGTATATATATATATATTTAAGTATCTGTGTCCTTCATAGTTGGCTGTTTTGACTTAAATGATTTGAAATTTCCAGATTTCCCCCAGTTGGTAGCAGTACAATCCAGAGAGCTAATACATTTTCTTTTTTTCCAACAATAATAACAACGAACTTACAGTACACAGTCCCATAATAAAGATATACATACTGAATACAATATAAATGTCAAGACAGAAAAATAGAAAAATATCAATAGAAATCAAAAGTCAAATACATGTCAGAGAAAGTATACAGAGTGAAGTGTACTTATGAGTCTTTGTGGTTCTTGTTGTTGTAGCCGGAGCTTGTATTGGCTCTCATTGTTGGTATATTGGCTGTGTGACTGTACTTCGGATTTTTGTTTTTTCCCCCCCGTCCCGTCCCGACACACACACACGGACACAAAGTTACACACTTCTGCAAATACAGACACATGCCATAGCACACAGGCCTGCACAGGTGCAGGTGTGTACTCACCCACACATTTGCCCTCACACACACACACACACACACACACACACACACACACACACACATAGCTCACATGACCGTGCAGCACTTGCAGGTCAGTTTCTTCTCCTTTCCCTTCTCTCCTTCCTCTCCGCCTCCGTTGGCCTTTTCTTTATCCGCCATGCTCCCGTTGGGTGGAGCCTGCTCTTCTGAGGCTGCCTCTCCTCCAGCCTTCCCTTCCCCATCCTCGATCACGACAAACTCAGCCTTGACGTTGCCGTCAACACCTTCCATTCCCAGAGCCGTGCGGGACTCCTGCTCCTCCTCAACGGTTTTGTAGCCCATGAACACCAGGGTGACGGGGTTGTCCTCGCTAGCTTGGTCAGGACTGGGACCCAGCAGCTTGGCCTCGATCCCCGTCACCTCTCTCTTGGGGGTCTGACCCGAGCCCTGCACTACTCCATTCTCACCTAGAGGTGGCACCAGAGTGTCATTGAGAGACGAGGGGAGAGCAAAAGGGAGAGAGGGTGGTCGGGGAAAGTCAGAGAGATGGAGAAAGAAAGGGAATATTGTTTTAATGACCCCTGGCGGAGAGGAACAATTTAATAGAGCAAATGAAGAGGCCAACATTAGCTCGCTTTCTCTTTCCGACACAGGTATCCAGGCTGCGTTGCTATGGTTTCCCGTGTGATCATATGCTGCCATGGGTACTGAACTTACCTCCATTTTCTTTGGCCACACCCTTATTGGCTGGAGGGTCTGTCTCCAGTTCTTCAATCTCTTGCTCCAGCCTGGCTCAGAAACACACACACACACACACACACACACACACACACACAAACACACACGCGCACACACGTGCAAATTACTGATTGAAATAAATCTGAGCAAACTTTGAGTAGATGATCAGTTCTACAAAAAAATATGACCATGTGTCCCTTTAATGACCATCACAGCCTCAGTGTCCTTACACTATTTGATCTCATTTCTAGTTGAAGCCGTTATTAAAATGGATAAAAATACTGAGTTATTTATGAACTATACCAATGCTTAGACATGGCACTCAGACATGTTCAGACTGGAATCCGGTTTCTTTTAGTTCTTTAAGTTCAAACACCACATAGATAAATAAATCACAATTATTTATGGCTTCAATGACCAATTTCTCGAGATTTGTCTGAGTCTGGATACTTAATTTGGAGTATAGCACTTTTAATACAACATATGCATGCCTACATTTTTTCCATGACAAACACTTAATAAAACACTTTTCTGGACAAAGATCGGACACGCGGGGGTCTTTTAGATGCTGACCTGAGGATGACCTGCTCCAGGAGTTTGGTCTTCACCTCGTCCTCATGCAGACGGTTCTGAGTCTCCTCCTCCGCTGGAGCTCCATCTAACAACCAGCGCTCCCTCAACGCCTTCGACTGCAAGAGTACATCACAAATACTAACATGTTGTTGAGAATGAACACGGAGAAAAAAGCATATAAGAGAATGATTATATTTGTAAATTGTGGCAAAAAGAAGAACACATTTCATTATGATTTCCCCCTGTTTGGTGTATGAGTGTGTACATCAGCTATGATGAAAAGAGCATAAGCAGGGAGAGTGCTATTAATCATGCTTCTTTCATCAGCAGCTGATTCATTCATTAACAGGACTTCAATCACCCAAAATGCAACACGTTCTCACCCGTTCTCACTTGGAAGAGATTAGTAGTATTTTGACTGAGAACGACGAGCCGTTTAGCTAATCTACAACAAAAATCTACCAGCGATTGTGTCCAGCACTCCTCTGCTGACCGCTGCCACTCAGTGATTCTGTCACATACTTCAACTGCTGCCAACTTGTTGTTGCCAAGTTGACTGTGGCACATAGCCAGGGCATCAAAGAGCTACACAGAAAAGATCCAAACGATGGTATAATTCTCCTGTTATCCTAAATTGAGCACGGGATTGGAAATCAAGACAAGTCACCACAAGATTAAAAACAAAATAGTTCCATTCCTAAACCGCATCAATCACATTCATGGGCAAGTTGAGAGCACCGACTGTGACTAAATGTACTTGTAAACTGAGTGTCATTATAATTACTGTAAAGTTAATTCTAGGACAAGATCATTTAATACCTCCGTATGAATTATAATGAAGCATGACATGGGAATACAATGTAGCCTATAAACTTTGTTCTGAGGTGGATTTTTCACTTTATTATTCTCTTACCTTCCACTTCTTTATCTGTTCCTCAGTCTATGTTTATTTCCTCTATCTATTTCCAAACAGCCCTGTATCCTTATCTTGACCCCCCCATCCACTTTCCCTCCTCTAGATAAGCTTAACTCAAAGCAAATACTTGGCATGCTTCGAGGTAAATATAACAGTGTGTCTTACTCGCAGCTGTTATTAGACCGTGCAGGGCAATTCAACCCTGCGTGGCCATACGGATAAGTGTTGGAAAAAGCTCTTGCTTTCACGAGTTGGACTGAAAATCTGGACCTGTCCTTGATTTGAATTCCTCTCCAGTGATGCAAGAAGAATTTCTACAGCAAAACCTCCTGTTTGTTTTTTTCTTCTTCTCTGACTCGACCCCCGCCCATTCCTCTCTCTTATATGCATCTCTATCCATCATGAAGTTCATGAACTTTGTGGTTTTGCGCATGTTATATTGGGTAAGGTTTTACATGTCAGAGTGTATCTGTTTGTATCTGTTAAAGGGCCTGTTGTTCTGTTTTAACTCTTACTTTCCCCCATTGAGTAATTCAGCTCCAGACATCCAGCTCAACAGAGCTTTACAGCACACAGTCTCTCACGGTGTAATTCAACACTCTTCATACCCCAGCCCTGCATGGTCTCCAGGGCACTGAATCTTACCCTGCTTCCCTCTCTGTCTCTCTACTCTCTCAATCTTCCTCGCTCTCTCGCCACACCCAACTACCCCAGAGCCCGACATCACGTAATGTACTCACTCATGTGCACGCAAACACACGCGCGCAGACAGACACGCGCATACACACACGCACACACACACACCAGTCTCCACGAACAGTCGTAAAGCCGGAGCACTGAAGTTACGTCTCTCTCCATTGTTCTTTGGAGTAAAAGCTGCTAACGTAGCAGACAAAGGGCGGAACTGTGGTACACACAGTTACACACACACACACACACACACACACACACACACACACA